CTGTAACAAAGTAAATGTACTTAAGTTACAAGAAACCTCTGAAGAAAACAATAAAAAAAGGTTAATCTCAGTATTTTTATGTTTATATTTTAGCACGGTTACATAGAGGACGAACCGGACCAGAGAGGTTTGTTCCCGTCCTCCTTCGTCCAGCTGCTCTCTGATTGACGTAAACCAGGACCAGGACCAGGCCTCGAGGCCGGCACTAATCCAGATCGCTCCAGAAAGCAGAACCCGGTGCTAACGAGAACCAGACCAGACGACGACACTGAATGGACCAGGTCCGACTCTGGGTCTATCTCTCCTGAAGGATCAGTCTCTCCAGCTTCCTGCGATCAGGGTCCAGACACAACCTCAGGCCTTTTGTAACCACAGGAACAATGTAAATGACCTTTGAGTGAAGGTTTTCTTTTTTGTGGCTCAGGTCAGGTCCTGTCACACAACAAATCAATGCCTTTATTTATTTATAAATTAAAAATGATGTAAAATAAATTTAATGAGCACAGAAGTGAGAAGAGGTCAGGTCAAGGATCCTTTTTAATTTGAATTGTGCTGATTTACTTCCTCCATCCAGTTATTTATTTATTTATTCAATCTGGATTTTGTCAGGATATCAGTAACTGCTGCCACACAAAGGATTTCAGGATGACCAAAGCTCTTAAASAAATTTAAAAAGCGCTCTGAGGAGCTTAAGTTAGACATGAATCCTGAAGTAAAATGCTTCCAGCAGCCTCTGGGTCCCACGGTATCATCAGAGCAGCACGGCGCTGTCGCTGGTGAAGAATTCATTTCCTGTGTGTCTTTGGTTAAAAAACATTTKGTTCCGCAGGAAGCACATTGAGTCAACGTGAGTTCAAACCACTGATGGACGAGTAAAACCTACATTATATTTTAGAAACTGATGGTTTGGTGATTAAATGAATCTTGTTCTTTAGCTACACGTTGACCGTCTCACAGAAAGTCACACAAAGTGCTGCTTTCATCAAMAGTGTTCAAACAAACAGTTTTGCATCTTAAACTGCTTCTATTCTGCTAAAAACATGCTTTCTGTCCATGTTAGTAAAAATAAACTGATGGCATGAATCTGCACTTCAAATCCTCTAGATAAAAAAAAACAACAAAAGGCACAACTGGGCTGTTTCAGGTGTTTATTTTCCTCGAAGTGATGCCGTTGGGTACTGTCCTGTTCGCTCCTCCCCAGTTTCATGAATCTAATGTTTGGGAGAAGTTTAACTTCCTGACTTGAAACCCGAGGGGTTGGATGAAAGCTCCAGTTGTTTAATCTACAGAACGTAATCCTACAAGTTTACAAAGGAATTACAAGTTAATCCTCACCTTAAAGCAGCCCTGATTTAAATGAACTTTACATCCTCGTTCCGCATGAAATCTGATGACCAAACATTTGTTTTTAAACAGAGATGCTTATGAAAAACAGACTGCTGTTCTGTCATCAATCTGGATCATTTCCCAGTTTACTGGCAGGAAATTTCCACCTTAAAGCTACGCGATAACTTAAAGTGCCTGTGACATCAAATTTTTATAATAATTATGAATGTATTGTTGGAAAGATAACATTGAAAACATATTATAAAAAATATTTCATGCTGGTGAGATGAACAATTGTTGAGATATTCAGATGTAAAGAAACAGGAAGTGATGTCAAAGGGGAATGTCAGAACGTAAACAGAGCGCTGATAAAATGGCTAACAGCTCAGACTGTAGAGAAGAATCTGATGTTTCTTTAATCTTAATCACTCTGAGAGATGAGATACAGAGTTCAAATAATAATGTTTCAATAAACAAAACCCAGTTTTCTTTTTTAGAGTTCCCCTTTGATGTCACTTCCTGTTTCACTTTAGCTGAGCCAAATTCAAAAGAAAATATGCCAGTTATGTGACATAACAGGTCAAATCATGTGTACTATGTCAAGTTTCTTAAATATAAGCATGTTTTCTTTGACTTTTTGTATTTTGTGGATACGCATGTCACAGGCACTTTAAAGGCAGATGCTTCAAATCAAACTGAGGACGAAGGATTTAAAGAACTATTTAACAGGAGCTGGATGAAAATATAAACTAAGTGGAGGGAATAACAGAGCAGCAGCCTCCTGGTGAAAATCCAGCATTATGATTATTGAGAGTAATTAACTTTTCTTTTGCTTGGTAGCAATAGCTTACAATTTCTGGAACTTTTTCTAAAAATGATCAAGTAAGCAGATCAGCAGCTGCAGCGAGCGAATCTTGTTTTCTCTAAAAGTGTTGATCACAAAAAAAAAAAGACTTGTTGGGTGTCGCAACCAGAACAACTAACCTMAGGGCAAGCTTCACACACGGATGTGGGTTAAAATCTGCGAGTGGTTTTCGACAAAACTTGGTAATTGCACTTTAAGTGATTATTTTCTGACTCGTCCTGAGTTTTAAAACTCAGCTCAGGATTAAACAATCTGCCTTTCCATCATGATAAACTTAGACTTTTGTTTTAAAACTACACAACAGTTTTTAGCAAAAGACAGTTAAAAAAAAGTTGCATTCCATTTGAATGCAGCGTCTCGATCACAGGTAACATTCATAAAAAGTGGCTGACAGGAAGTGTTACAGCACTGAAAGCTTTTAGCTAAATAAAAGAAAACCTCTCATATTGTAAACCAGGACGCAAACATTCAGACTAACTGTGATAGACAATCGGTAACAGTTGTTTTTTTCAATACATTCACAGTGCAAATGCAGCAGGTGTGGGTGCTACCTGGTTGGTGT